ATTTTCTCCACTGGAATAGGAGGTGGTTCAGAATAACCCAGGAAGCATGACCTTTATGATGGCAAGGTGCACCCATTTGAAAACAGATGCTCCCATCATTGGAGGAGTTCAGCTTGGAATCTCTTAACATTTTGTGGCATCTCTTCACATGTTGTGACCCTGTGATTACCCCCCTCATGGCAGCCATTTTTGCTGTGGCACCTACTACCTGTTCTCAAAATCCCCAAAGTGCTCACAGGTTTAACAAGATTAGAGACCCCTGCTACAGAATATAACATTTTGCATTCTACGTATTATGAACTGAGATTGAGGAAGCTCTCAACCAAGTGATTTCATTTATTCAGCTCATAACTTAACACAGGACAACACAACACAGAACAAGATAACTTTTATATGTTTTGAACTGGTAAAAACCACACCTCTAAAGTAGATAACAACCAATGAAATAACAGTGCTTGGGACCAATGGGAATTGTTCCCGCTGAAGTCAGGGTTCGTTTGGATTGGTCTGTTTCCCGACACCGACCAATCCTGTTGCAGCTTTCAGGATACCAAGAGTCAGTGGAGTTTGTGTCTGAAGCTCTGGCTTGTTTACCCTAAGCAATGTCCCGTTTAGGTTACATAAGCCTCGCACATAAGTAACTACAGGTTTAATAGAATCACACATAATCAATAGGCAGTATCAATAAACGAATACGTAACACTATGGATCCCACCGCTTCCATTTAAAGATCATAAGAACTTATGTACACCCTGCTGAGTTGGACCAGTGGTTCACCTAGCCCAGCATAATGTTTCACACAGGGGCCAACCAGTTGCCCTGGAGTGCCAACAAACAGCATAGAGGTCAAGGCCTTCCACCTGAAGCTACCTCCTTGCACCCGGCATTCAGAGGTTTGCTGCCTCTGAATATGGAGCTTCCGTTTAGTCACCATGGCTAGTAGCCATTGATGGAACTCTCCTCCATGAATCTTAACTCCATGTTTAAGCAATTTATACTTGTGGCTATCACTATCTTATCCTTGTTCTCCATGGCTCAAGTACTGCAGTTTGTTCTATTTCATATTTCCCCTCTTGTCAAATGTGCACCCAGCTTGCTTCTCTCTTTTTGTGGTCATTTGGGTTTTTCTGTAACATGCACAGATAAGTGTTTTCCTCTTTAAGGGCCCCAGGTGGCAGCTGGTGCCTGCTGATGTTCTCTGACCTCAGGCTTCCTCTCTGTTTTGGAGAGGATCAGACTAATTGCCAGGTGCCTAGGCAACTAGCATTCATCTCCCTTGGATGTTCCTTTTTTAACTTCCTTGTTCTGCTGCAAGTTCCCTGTGCTGCCTAGTTTTTGTGGTCTTGGCTTCTCTGGGTGTGTGAGGGAAAACACATACAAGTGCACAGAACTGTGTGTGAGTACTTACGGATTAGACATCTTCCCTTTCTGAGGTCTCCCGTGTAAAACGTGTCCTCCGTCTACTAAGTTTTGGAATCTACATGTTTTCTCCAGGCCTGTCACTTCTGCTGGGGAAGGAAGACAGCAAGAGCTATATTTAATTTGCATCTCTGGTACTTCGTTTAGATGTATGAAGTCAAACTCAATTTCAAACTATCATCTAGCTCAGCAGGATAAATCCTTAATGCACACTATTTTCCACAGCCCCCATTGCATAAGAACGATATGGCTAGCACCACCATGTCTGACTCAGTGATGAGGCTTAGGTCATAAGATTTGTGATCAGTCTCTTGCTTTTCCTCCCCCATACTAAAATATAGACTTGAGGAGGAGGCTTCACATTTCATTTCAGCATTGGCATTGGGGAGGGGGTGATGGACTCTTTCCTGAAGCTTGTTTTTGCAATGAAAATCATCCCCTGCCACTTTCACAGCTGGGGGGAGAGGAATGCAAGAATGTCTGGGTTTTATTGTAATGTTTTATTATTATTATTTTTTAATTTTACCTTTAAGGGGGTACTAAAAGAAAGGGGCAAAGGGATAAGTGAGAAATGTAAAGCATCATTTTAAGGACATTGCATGATATAAAAATATAAAACATGAAAAAGTAACATAGCAAAGAGTATCATAGCATATCAAAATATGATAAACTAATCAATATGCAGCATAATATAATTCCATGCATCTTTCTATTATTTCCTATCTATAGGGCTGGGTAGAAAAACGTATAAGCAAGAAATATAAGAAAGGAGAAAGAAAGCATTTCTTCTTTATACAAGGTTAATACTATCATATAATTAGTAAATACGTAACTATAAAAGATTAATGAGTATAACTACAATAATATAATTATACAGTTTTGAGTATTAATCAATTTAAATTTCTTTATAGCTCCTCTAACAACTTTATCTAATCTATGTAGTTTGTCTGTAGTAATTATAAAAGGATCTCCACTTATTCTCGAATTCAGTGATCGGCTTTTTATTTATATAGTTCGTCATTTTTGCCACAACAGCGTATTCTTCCATTTTGTCTCTCCAGTTCTCAAGATCTGGGCAAATTTCACACTTCCACTTGGCTGCAAATACTAGTCATGCCGCGGTTAACATATATCTGAACAGTTCATGCTCTGATCTATTTATATTAGATGGAAGAATTCCTAATAGCATAGTCTGAGGTTTCAAACTGTAATGTTTTATTGATTACAACCAATCATGGATCCCATGTTGGGAATAGTAGATTTTTTTAATAGTAGATTTTAATAGATTTTTTTAAAAAAAACAGTATGTAATATAAATATGTATTTTCAGTATGAACATACAGTGGAGGGGACCATACATAAATGGATCCCCGCCTAATTTCTCACACTCAGTTATCTGCAAATTTCCCCCCACATCAATTTGTGCCTTGTTGAGAAAGTCCTTTTTCTAATGACACTAGCACCATGAATATGACAACACCAGACTCTTCCTCTTCATGGGAGCGGAGTATCTCCCATTCCACTTTCCAGCGTGGAAAGCCAGTGGGGTGTAGTGGTTAAGAGTGGCAGACACTAATCTGGAGAACAGGGTTTGATTTGCCACTCCTCCATATGAAGCCTGCTGGTTCATGGTTTATGGCCAAGAAGGTGTGAGGCGTTCAAAAGGGGCTTTGATCAATGCATTCTTGGTGTGTCCAGCCTGTTAGGCTGTTCCTATACTGGGAGTAAAAAGGTAAAGGTTCCCTTGCTCGAAAGCCAGTCGAATCCGACTCTAGGGTTGCGGTGCTCATCTCTGTTTCCAAGCCGAAGAGCCAGCACTGTCCGAAGACATTTCCGTGGTCATGTGGCTGGCATGACTAAACACCAAGGCGCATGGAATGCTGTTACCTTCCTACTGAAGTGGTACCTATTTATCTACTTGCAATTTCTTGCTTTCGAACGGCTAGGTTGGCAGGAGCTGGAACTAGAGACGGGAGCTCACTCCGTCATGTGGCACCCGGGTCTCGAACTGCTGAACTACCGACCTTCCACAGCCTGCAGTTCAGCGTCTTAACCACTTGAGCCACCGCAGCTCAATACTGGGAGTGCCTTCTATTAATTATTTGCTGTGATCAAAAACCTTCCTTTAATGTGAAAAAGAGAGGTGCATTTTGCCTCCCAAATGGTATCTTGAAGCCAAATGTTTTGGGAGTATTTTGTTCCTGCATTCCAGGAATCTTGAAGTCAAGAAATCTGGGGGCATGTCTGTCCCATGCCTCTGGCCTATGGGAGGTAGGAGATGTTTGAGGTGTACGGTACGACAGATCCTAATGTGGATGAGGGAGCCAGATAACAGCAATCACATATATGTGGGTGTTTTAGATTGTCCACTGAGAAAAGGTGGTTGATCACAGATCCTCCGCATGTTATACAAAAAATGTGCAATGGCTGGACATGATAATGCACATGCAGAATGGCATTTCCCCCTAATCTTAATCATTTTGCACCCTTTTCCCAATATCCTTTCCAAAAGCAGCTCTTTGCCTTGTGGGATAATATGAAGAAGTACTTGCATGTTTTGTTGGGGGTGTGTGGAAATAGTATATGCTGTACATATGACACTACATTATACCAGCCAGTATAGTCTACCCTGACTGGCAGCAGCTCTCTAGGGTCCCAAGAAGAGAAGGGTCTTTCCAGGGCCTTTTATTTTTTTAAGAGGTGCTGGAATTCTCAAGAGGGAAATGAGGTTTTTAATCTGTATACTGAAAACTCATGAACTTTAAACATTTTTAAAAGAGTTTTGTCGAAGAGGTTCCAGAACTGTGTTCTGGCAGGTCCCCCCAGAAGAAAAGCCCTGGGTCTTTCCCAGCAACCCATGATACCCTGAAAATTTTCTGACTCTATGTGCCAAAGAATGAACTTGTGATCTTCTACATGATAAGCAAGGATGACTGAGAATGGGAAACAGGTTCACTCTCCTTCCTCTCTCAGTGTATGACCTCACTCTGAACTAGGATCCCATAGCTGCTTTTAGGCTTTAGAAACAAGGTGGGAGATCCTCATTACAGATCTCAAAAGTCATATCTTGTTTGGCCCTAAGCCCAATAACTGTGGAAGTTGGTTCTAACTTCAGGCAGTATTGTGTAGTGGGTTGCCGCATGGACGAACGATAGACAACGACGTAGTGCATAGCACGCTTTATTGGTACACAACAAGAATAACCAACAACGGCCGGCAGGCCAACTATATACACAACCAGGGGACACACCCCTGGGTCCCATTGACGGGTTTGAATCTCCCGCCATGGTCCCATTGGTTCCCCCAGTGGAGGGACTAGGATCCTAGTCCCTATTGTTAAGCCGGACTCAAGCTCCGGAGTGTGCGCTGGCCTCTGGTGGCGGTCAGCGGACACAACAGGCAGTCTCCTAAAGTGGAAAGCAAAACAAATGTTAGCCTCAAAATAGGGAAGTAAAAGGAGTGTGGAGGAACGAATATGCTTCCCTTTTGCAATGGAGTGCTTATATATATAAAACTGGTCCCATAGCTTTTTGTCATATGAGTGCTGACTGTGAGCCACATACCTGACAGATTTTCTTTTCGCTCACAATGTTGCACATTTGTCTGTTTTTGGTCTTGTTGTCCAATACAGTTCTCAGCCTCCAGATCTGCTCTTTTAATGTGAGGTCATTTGGAGAAGCCAAAAGAACACAGCCAGGAGTCCTGGACATCATAGTAAAGGTATGTTCACTCTCCACAATTAAGCAAGCACTCTGTTGGGGGGGGGGTCTGTTTATTTAACTTATCTTTCAGGATCTTTTCATCTGTTCCAAGTTAATGAATGGTTGAGCATTAATGAATACAGTACGTTTCCAACAGTGCAAAAAAAAAAAAAATCCATTGTTGGACCTGAAGCCATGTGTACAGCAAGATTTATTTACATATTAACTCTAGCGACAATGCAATGCAAATGCTGTTGTAAATGTACATGAGGGATTAGGATACTGTCTGATGAGCAAAAGCAACTGTTCTCTGTTCAACAATTTTCTTGTCATATATTGCACCGTTGCTGGCATTTTTAATTTGTCTAATCATCACTGTGAAGTTTCCCAGCCTCATTAAGGAGAAATTATCATGCAGAGAAAAGTGATTGTATTATAAAAATCCTCACAGGAGAAGAATGATTTGAGCACTTTGGTACAGTTCAAAAGTCTACACATTTGATGCATATAATAACAAGTAGCATGTGATCTTCACATTGCAATGAGCTGTGTATGAAGCTGCTGTGTATGGAATATATATAAATGCCGCCTCTGTTCTGAAGCCTTCCTCTCCCAGCAAACTGTGAGCATCAAACCTTTTGTCTGACGAGGACAAAATGAAGGCACATGTAGCTCTGAGTGGTGTGGCTGCCTTCATAACTGCTTACAAACTGGCTGCTTTGGATTTTGAAATGGTGGACAAAAACATTTGTCAGACTGAACAGTTATTCAGGCACACAATATACAAATGTCAAGATTAAGTCAATGTTTCAAATGCTTCCAGGGATTTCAAGTACTACCAGAGCTTGGGTTTCAGAATCATCTGAAGACTTAATATACCCCATTCTTTTATTTTCACCCCTAAGCTTATAAATGACTTCATACTGGAATGTGTGTTCAATTGTAAGCTAAACTAGACATGCTATTAGTTTATTATAGTATTAAACCAGCATAAAACACAGAGTAAAATATGCCAAAGCCATCAACCGCAGTTGTTAAAATTACAGATAAAAATGTAGTACTTGCACATAAGGGATGATAAATAATATTCCAATAATACATCCTTAATTCTTTTCATTGTCTATTTCCTGCCCAAGGGACTTGCATGAAAGCACACCCTTTAGAGCTTCACAACAGCCCTGTGGGATGGGTTAGGCTTGAAAGACACTGATTGGCCCAAAACCACCGTTAAAGAGTGGTGGGTAGTCATCTGGGAGCTTCTGCCAATAAAGACAGTGCTCAACTATGAAGAGAGTGGGGTTTCTCATCTGTGCTCATGGTTATGAGTGCCGAATCAGGGCAGGAAAGGGGCCGTTCTTCTCTAGGGTTGCCAGCCTCCAGGTAGCAGCTGGAGATCTCCTGCTATTACAACTGATCTCCAGGTGACAGTTCACCTCCAGGTATTTCCCAATCCAGCATTGGCAGCCTTGCTTCTCACTCATTGCAGAACACGAGGGGCAAGGCCTGTCGGGGCAGTTGAAGACTCTGTTTGATCCCAGAGAGGTTTCCTTTTAACAGTTGGCATTCTCCTCTGGTGCGAGGAGTCTTGTGTTGCTGGAAGGCGTTCGGTGCAGGAGGCAAATGCCACCGACAGCACAGAGGTCCTCCAGAATCCTGCCCTTTCCGCTTTCATTTATCCAGCCATTTCATGGAGCATTGCCATGGCCGTCTTCAAATCACTGCTCCCATCCTGAAACATCAAAAGGTCACCCTAATCAGTTTTGCCTATGGTTCTTCATTTCTATCGGACTTGTGCGTGTACCCAGGATGAGTCACGTGATTCTGGATCTTTAAGTCCCAACGATGATTCCGTACATGCCAGCCAGTCAGATATTAGGTTATTCTAAACTGATTTTGAGGTCTTGTTGAACAACTGGTGAAGTTAATTCAGAGTGATGACACAGGCAATATAAATCAAAAAGCTAGTTGTCCCCCCCACCACCATGTGTTTCTGATAGTCTTTTCTGCCTTTACAACTCAGTAAGCCAGTGAATCAGAGACTAGCTCAGCCTACAGTCTTGCAACTCTCCCCTGTAATTTAGGCTGGCATTTTAATGAGGGAGGAGAGAAGGTTTCTTGGTGATATCATAGTATATGGGGAGAAGCCTGTGTGTTGCTGGCTTTGGCTTCATTTGTAATAAAGCAGAGGGGGGTGCTTCTAGAAAAATCCTGCTACTCTAACAGTGTAATCCTAAACAGACTTGCACCTTTCAGTGGCCTTAGAAAAGTGTGTTATGTATTGAGATGTATATAACTGCCTTGTGAACTGTGCCATTGAGAGTCAATGTTAAGCTTCGCCAAGGGCTAGGATCCTAATGTAACCAATAGGAGTCCTAGCCCAGAGAGTGTCTACCAATCACGATGCAAAGCGGGACCGCTTGTGATTGGGTATTGTATCTTCAACCTCATAGGTTGTTATCTGTACAGGGGGTGTGGCTACATTAGCCGGGAGTGTTTAAATATCGACAAGCCAGTGTAAATACTTGATGGGTTCTGGCTGGCGATTGTTGTACCGTGACGGAGAAGTAACTGAGCTGAAGAATAAACCGCATTCTTGCTGAAATCACTCTCCGACTCTTTGTTAAGCGCACGACTTAACAAAGTGTAACCCTGTTTAGGATTACACTGCAAAGCTGATAAATTTGTGTCCTTTCTTACACAAGAGTTTTCTGGTAAGGGCCCAGAAAGACCAGAACTTAATGCCTGGCATTCTGGACCAATGAAAGTCTTTTTAACTATACAGGGCCAACTGATATACTCTAGCTAATAAAACATCTTTAAAGACACCATTGTTTACTCCGGCAGGTTATTTCTCGCTGTGATATCATGCTACTGATGGAAATAAAGGATAGCAGCAACAGAATATGCCCCTTTCTGTTAGAGAAGCTAAATAGGTAAGATGGAAAACTGAAGTATATCAGACATGGAAATATATTTTGATCTGCCCCAAAGACCCTTTTAACAAGAAAATGGGAGTGAAAGGAGGAGACAAACTCGCCCAGTCTTCCATGAGCTGTTTGAGAAACTGGTGGCAGAAAGTGCTGTCAAGTCGCAGCTGACTGGTAGCAACCCAGTAGGGTTTTCAAGAGGCATTCAGAGGTGGTTTGCCATTGCCTGCCTCCACGTCATGACACTGGTATTCCTTGGAGGTCTCCCATCCAAACACTAGCCAGGGCTGACCCTGCTTAGCTTCCTAGATCTGATGAGATCAGGCTTGCCTGGTCTATCGAGGTCAGGTCAGGATATTTGAGAAAGGATACCCATCAATGAAGCCAAGGTGAATTTCCCTATGGACACTTCCTCTTCAAAACTTTTCCGTTCTCTGAGCCTGAGAGAATCTTCTCAGAAGAGGAAAAGAGGGGCATCCAGGCTCCAATCCACATTCTGCTGTGGAAGTGTGCCAGATGACCTTGGGCTGGTCTCACACTCTCAGCCTAACCTGCCTCACAAATGGAAAGAATGATGTCAGCCCCTTTGGGGGCCCCATTGGGGAGAAGTAAGTAAATGAATAAATGCAGGTCAGGAAGCTGAAGTGGGGAGGGGTCAAATCAATCCCTTCTTCTCTTACATTACCAGAACTCCCCTGACAGAAGAGGCAGGAAGGGCAGTTTTGTCCCTGTCCCTCTTTCCACTGCAGCCTCCCACCTACGTGGCTATTTGTCCATATGAATCCCACATCTCGGGGGGGGGGGACTTTGTCGGGGAGGAAAGGCCTGTGGAGGAGGGGGAGAGGGATGTGATAAAGATTTCTGACCATTAGCCCCTGCTGCCAACAGATCACTAGACCCACTTCCTCTCTGGGCTCCCCTCTCTATGCTACTCTCCCCTTTCTGCACCCTCCCTCCCAGCAGAACCCTGGGGGTGAGTCTAGCAGCACCAGCAGGCTATGCTAATTAGTAAATCTTCTCTTCAGATGTTGAGGATAGAAACACAGCTACTGCTTATTAATTCCAAAAATGTATTTCCTGCATTTCTTTAAAGCAGGTCTCTGATGGAGACTCAAATTCATTTCATTTTCATTCTCAGTCAGGCACAAGATGAGTACAATTACGTGGTCAGTGACAGACTGGGAAGAAAGACCTACAAAGAGCAATATGCTTTTTTCTATAGGTAAGTTCATTCCATAATTTTGTTTCAAGGAGAAAACGACACACGATGTGAGGCAGAACATAACCAGGGCTGTATTGAAATAGACTGAACAGCTGTAGTACAGCTGCTTTTTGCAGTTATGGTACGTCTCCTCTTGAGAAGGAGGACTGGACTTTAGCGCCAAACAGGGGCAGCCATGGTGATTCTGGGCCCTGGGCGAAAGTCCAGAATCACCGCTAACCCTTCCCACACATATCTGGGCCACCCCAGGCTCAAGCAAGGTGGGCAGGCTGAACCTGAGAGGGTGGGTGGATGTGAATGGTAGCCAGCTGCTGCCAGAGCTCTGAGGGGGGTAGGCAGCCAATGAGCTGGCTGCTGCCCAAGCCCCAGTGGGGACAGGCAAGCATGCACATGAGGCAGCTGCCAAACTGGCAGGTCACTGCCTAGCCTAAGGCCCTGAGGGAGGTCGCAGGTGGGTGCATGCACATGCATGATGGCCAACCACTTTCCCCCCTTCTGTGGGTGGGTTGGGCTATGGGCAGTCAGGGGCCACCCAGCTCGGGGCCCTCAGCAGCTGCCTTTGATGCCTGGTGGTTTAGACTGTCCCTGGAGCGAAATACTGGGTAGTTCCTTCAAATAATGAACAGGCGGTAAGCTCAGCACACCCAAAGAAAAAAGAGTTTTACTGTGGAAAGGGGAAGCATGTTGGGCAGTGCATTCTCAACACATTTAGTTGCTGTTCAAAAAGAATGAAAAACGGGTGTATCCAACACTGTGCCTAGACAGCAGAGATTAGAAGACACTTTGGAGCAGTCCTTCGCCAAAGCATTCTCGGGCCTTGGGAAAAGGCCTATGGCAAGCTGGAAGGAACAGCTGTGCTTCTGCTTGGGATTTGCTTCCAACACCTCTACTTCTACTTCTACCTACACATCATGCAAGGTTGTCTTAAGGTGAATCTACGACAGCATCCTATCTCTAACCCTTTGATAGGACCTCAATATCTCCATTGTCCCAGGTACATTTCCTGCACCTTTGTTCTTCCTTCTCTTAGGATTGTGGGTTCTGTTGCTATTTTTAATCGAACTCTGAAATGTACAAGATAGGAATTGTGGATTTTTCTGCTCCCAAGTCTGGGGCGTTCCATGAATGTATTTTCAGTGTGCTGACAGAATAAGTGACAGTTTGTAGTTCAAAGTTCACATGTCTTGTATTAACCAACAAAGCAATGATGAGAACCTTGAAATAACTGACCTATCTGATCTTATGGTATCTAATATTCTGCATTGCACCATAGATCAAAGATGGTAACAGTCAAGAACACTTATCAGTATCCTGATCTGCAGCCTGGTGATGAAGATGCCCTTTCCAGGGAGCCTTTTGTTGTGTGGTTCTACTCTCCAAAAACAGGTTAGACACACTGCTGAGCATCCACTGTCCTTTCCATCTCTAAGGATTCCCTGACTGAGGAATAAAGCACAGATACAGAATGGGAATGAATGAGCATGGAGACAGCTCTAGCTCAGTTTGTTTATTACACTTAGTTCTTCAGAGAAAGAATGAGAACCAATAATAGCTTATTAGTATGTTGTATTCATGTCTCTCCTCTTGACTGCTTACAGGTACAAGCTGATTTAGCTTCAACAACAGAAGTACATCATATCACGTGCCCCCTTATGTTTCTGTAAGCCACAAAGAATGCTTAATCAGATATCACAGTCTGGCTGGAACTACTCAGTAGCTTATCTGTCCCCTTATATATAAAGCTGTAGTTGCGTCCAACATTCGAATGTGCACCAACAGTGTTTGGACGCTTGAACAGTCCCTCAGAAGCTTCCCCAGCTTCCCCTATCCATTGGCTGTGTCTCCTAAGTCCCACCTCAGAACACAAAGGCTGTAGCCCTGCCCCTGCGCCCAGTCCCCTCAGAAGTCAGACTACTGCTGACAACCACCTGGTGGATGAGTGGAGCCGAAGGGGCCATGGCATGGGCCTTTGGGGGGAGCAGCTGAAGAGCGGCAGCACCGTCGACGGCAATGCCCCTCCCACTACGCAGGCCTTTTGGGGAGCACTTGAAGGGCTGCAGCGGCGGTGATGGGCCGCCCACCACAGGCACGATTTTGGCACACCACCCCTGCCCGACTAAGCAGGCCTTTGGGGGAAGCTGTTCAAGGGCTGCGGTGGCAATGAGCCGGCCGCCGCAGCCCCGATTTCACCGCCACTCCCCCCCCCGTGCCTGAGTAGCCAGGCCTTCTGGAGAATACCCACACTGCGCTGCTTCTCTCGCCCGCCCAGAACACCGGATGAATGGGAGAAGCCCTCCAAAGGCCCCCCCCCCCACCGCTTCTCCCACTTGCCTGGAACGCCAGAGGAACGAAAGAAGCCCTCCAAGGTCCCCCCCGCCCTGCTTTTCCCGCCCG